AAAAAAAAAAAAAAAAAAAAAAAAAAAAAAAAAGAGACAGGGTCTCGCTCTATTGCTCAGGCTGGAGTGCAGTGGTGCAATCATGATTCACTGTAGCCTCGAACTCAGGGTAAAACAATCTTCTCGCCTCACCCTCCCAAGTAGCTAGAAGTACAGGTGTGCACCACCAAGCTCAGCTAATTTTTAAAATTATTTGTAGAGATGGGGTCTTGCTATGTTGTCCAGGCTGGTCTCAAGCTCCTGGGCTCAAGTGATCTTCCCACCTTGGCCTCCTAAAGTGTGGGATTACAGGCATGGGCTACCATGCCCAGCTAATTTTTGTATTTTCTAGTAGAGACAGGGTTTCACCATGTTGGCCAGTCTGGTCTTGAACTCCTGACCTTGTGATCCACCCACCTTAGCCTCCCAAAGTGTTGGGATTACAGGCATGAGCCACCGTGTCCAGCCAGTTCAGCTAATTTTAAAAATTATTTATAGAGATGGGGTCTTGCTATGTTGCCCACGCTGGTCTCAAACTCCTGGGCTCAAGTGATCTTCTCGCCTTGGCCTCCTAAAGTGCGAGGATTACAGGCATGGGCCACCATGCCTGGCCTCTGCATGCATTTTAGAAGCTCTGCAAACAGAGGAGGTGCTGCTGTGCTCCCTCTGGAAACACTCTGCCTAATCCTGCTCCCTCCCCTCAGGAAAAGGGGATCAGACACCTCCCCCTAGACTGGATCCCCTACTGGAGGGGACAAGGCTATAAAGGACATTATTTAACAAATCGGAACAATAATGGTAGATTAAAGTATTATTGCAACGTTAAACTTACAGAAGCTGATAATATACTGCAGTTATGTAAGAGGATATGTGTATTTTTAGGAAACACAGGAGTATTTAGGGATAAAGGGCTAAAATGGATGTAACTTACCCTCAAATGGTTCTGAAAAAAATTTATACACACACCTACACATTCAGAGAGAAAAAGAACAAAAAAAAGAGGAAAACATGTGGACTTCTGTCTTTTGTGACATTTGTGGAGGTAGCTGAAACTTTATTTCTTTCAAGTGGTCTGCCTCCTCCACAGCAAGGCAGGGAAGAGAGGTGCACGTCCCCTGCCCTGTCCTGGCAGGGCGGTACCCAGAACCAGGGTCTTGGAAGGACACTGCACCTACAGGCCATGGCCCAGGTCTCCATGGACCGATGCTTAAGCCACTGACTTTTTTTTTTTTTTTTTTAAATGAGATGGGGTTTCACCATGTTGGTCAGGCTGCTCTTGAACTCCCATTCTCAGGTGCTCTGCCCCCCTTGGCCTCCAAAGTGCTTGGATTACAGGCGTGAGCCCCCACGCCCGGCCCGACTTTTTTTTTTTTTTTGAGACAGTCTCGCTCAGTCGCCCAGGCTGGAGTGCAGTGGTGCGTTCTCGGCTCACTTCAACCTCCACCTCCCAGGTTCAAGAAATTCTCCTGCCTCAGCTTCCCGAGTAGCTGGGATTATAGGCATGCACCACCATGCCTGGCTAATTTTTGTATTTTTAGTAGACACGGGGTTTCACCATGTTGGCCAGGCTGGTCTTAAACTTCTGACCTCATGATCCACCTGCCTCAGTCTCCCAAACTGCTGGGATTACAGGTGTGAGCCGCCGCGCCCAGCTGGCACTGACCTCTTGCTCAGCCCCCAGGGCATCTTGTACACTGTCCTCAAGGAGAGCTTTCAAAAGTTAAAACTTGAGCATGGTGTGCACCTGCTCAAATTTTGCAAGCCTCTTTTTCCTCAACTGTAAAATGTGAATGAATAATTATCTCTTCTTTGCAGGACTGTTGAGAGTTAAATGAGATATTATGCATGAGAAGCCCGACAGTCAGGTGTTACCGTAAGTGCTCAATAACAGAAGCTATTGTAATACATAGATGTATGTATATTTGTATATCAAAACTGAGAAAAAAAATGGAAGGAAATGTGCCAAAATGTTACTCATGGTTATATCTAGATGGTGGGATAAATGGCTGGCTTTAATATCTTTGCCTTTTTTTTAGCTATGTAAATTTTGCAATTAAAAAAAGGTGTTTAAAAACAAAACTACAGATTTTCTGAAAAAATGGGTTCATCCAGGATTAGCCAAAAACTTCCGTTATACAACTGCGGCTCTTTTTTTTCCCTGAGATGGAGTCTTGCTCTATCGCCAGGCTGGAGTGCAGTGATTCGATCTCAGCTCACTGCAAGCTCACTGCAACCTGCGCCTCCCAGGTTCAAGTGATTCTCTTGCCTGAGACTCCTGAGTAGCTGGGATTATAGGCGCGCATCACCATACCCAGCTAATCTTTGTATTTTTAGTAGAGATGGGGGTTTCACCATGTAGGCCAGGATGGTCTCCATCTCTTGACCTTGTGATCCTCCTGCCTCAGCCTCCCACAGTGCTGGGATGACAGGTGTGACCCACTGTGCCCAGCCAAAACTGTAGCTCTTGAAAGGCTCTGGAGACCAGGAATGGAGCCCACAGCTGCACTCTTATCCTGTACCTGCGGCAGGCGTCACGAATGGATC